TTGTCAACTGCCTCGAGCTGATCCAGCAACTGCGCCTTCAGCTGCAAGTCCTGGGTGCAGCCGACGAGGCGGACGAGCCTGGTCTTCACGTCGGCCGCGACCTCGGCGGGCGTGCCACTGCCCTTGCCGCCGCCCACGCCCTTGCCGTTGCCCTTCGGCTCCCGGCTGAGCGCGAGCTGCTGGTCGGCGAGCTCTTGACTGCCGCCGCCACCCCTCTCGGGCTTGGGTTTATAGAGCTTGACGTGTCTATTACACCGGGCGCAAACACAAGAGCGAGCGATGCAGACGTCGTTCCACCCATATGCTGAACACCCTGCGCAGTGGCTCCAGGGACGGTGAGCCGCCTGAGCCGCCTTCGCCATCTGCTGCTATAACCCTCGACTTCGCCAAGCCGATCGCGCTTCAGACTGTCGGCAGGGTCCGACCTGCTGGGAGAGACGGCTTGCCCTTCAAGCCCCCTCGTGGCGGGGTCGAGGCTTGGGCGCCTTCCAAAATGGCTTGGGCCCAAGTGGCTTGAGTGAGGAGGAGGAGGAGGCGGAGAGGAGGAGGAGGGGGAGGGGGAGGGGGGGAGGAGGAGGAGGAGGAGGAGGAGGAGGAGGAGGAGGCGGAGGAGCAGCAGGAGGAGGAGGAGGCCCTCTTGGACTTCTGAGTGGTGTTGGCTTCTTCGGCCTCATGGAGCCCTGTTGGGCTCGATCGGGTGCGTCCCAGGCAGTCTCGGAGCGAAGGCAGAATCGAGACAACATCGGACCGATGCGAATCGGAAATCTCTGAGATCCGGCGGCTCTGGAGGATATCTTGGGCGCCGCGGCCGTTTCAGAGCTTTCCGGAACGCTCTGACAGCGTTCTGGAACGCTCTGGATCAGAGCGTGAATTATTTCCCCCGCTTTCGCTTCCAGGCAAAGCCAAGCCATACCACGCGCCTCCTCGTCAAGCTGCCTGACCAGTACAGGCCGCAATGTGGCACCGTTTGGTATCTCTTGGAAGCGAGGGTGGTCAAACGCGAGGGAGGTTTGTTTTCCCCCGACTGGAACGGATTTATATTTGTCCTGGCCCCGCCTTTGACGCCTTCGGAGGCCGCCGCTCGTGGGGCCCCTTTTGGGCTGTCTTGGGGCCGCCTTGAGGCTCTTGCGAGCAGTCTGATCTGATGTTGTCTCATGGACCGTGTTGAGGCTCTGCTGGGGCGTTCTTGGGGGCCTCTTGGGCCGTGGTGTGGCCGTCTTTAGGGGGCCTCTTGCGAACCCTACCCCTACCTCCCACGATTTCTGAGGTGGAGAGTGAGGTTCACTTCGCTCGGGAGCTCCTGAATTCTGTGAACCCCGCCCTCCCCCTCAGAAATCGTGGGGGGTAGGGGTAGGGTTCGCATGTGGTCCCCTAGTCTTGGCCCGTCCTGGAGGCCTCTGGGGCCTTCTCTTGGGCTTTACGAAGCCGCAAAAGGCGGCAGCGGGTCAAGCATGTAAGACCACACATGTCGAGTTTCGGGCCCGCCTGGATGGCCCTCTTGGACTGCATCGGAGGCCTCTGGGGCCGTCTTGCGGCAATATGTGGCCCTGTCTTCGAGCCTTGGTGGGCCGTCTTGGAGGCATCTTGGGAGCAGCTTGGTTTATCTTGCCCTGTCTTCGAGGCATGTTGGGCCGCCTTGGAGGCATCTTGGGACCAACTTGGTTTATCTTAGTTGCCTGGGGACATTCCGAAGGCCAAGCAGAGCGCCGAAGTAATAGTCCCTGCGGGGCGGTGCTCTGAGGGCCGCGCGCCGAAGGCGAGAAGAGCGTCCGCCAGACAGCAGCTTGGCACCGCTCGGACGTTTGCATTTTTTCCTCGGCGAGGAACATCGAGGAGCATCCTTGATCATTTGGCGAACAAAAACCACGCACGAAACCGACAAAAACACAGGAAATGGACGTCCGAGCGATGGCCAGGCAGAGGCGCACTCCAACATGCCCAAGCGTGCCGGAGGCACGGCGTGGGATCTGGTAGGGTGTTTCTTCTAGTTATGTTTAAGTCGGGCATGGTTCTCTGCAGGAGGACGATTCAGAGATAGCCAGAAAGAGTAGTATGGGGACCATGTCTCGATTAGCTTGGGACCATGTTTGAGCATTTGTTGACTACGTTTCATTATAATTCCAACCATCCGCCTGCGGGAGGACATGCCCGACCTAAAGGTATGTGGATGAAGTGCGGTTCCTTTCCGAAGCGGTGCCATCGTTCGAATGGCAGGCACATGAGGCGCGCGTCTTTCACGGGGGCGCTTCCACCAACACCAGTTTATATGAGTTTGTTCGGTCTTCTGACGTGGGGACGTGGGACGGAAGGGTGTATGCAGCATTGTTGAAGTTTTCAAGATTTCCTTTGGTATTGTTACTCTTCTTATCCTCTCCTTCATCCGTGTTTCCCCCTGCTCCGAACTGTCACAGCTGTAGGTTGTGGCGATCGCCTGACAGTTGTGAACTCGACTCGCGCCCTCGAGAACGACCGAACAGAGCCGAACATCGGCACCCTTCGCCCTCCATGTTCCTCTCCCTCCCCTTACCCATCCCCTATACCCTGGCCCCCCCCTGGCCCTCGCCCGGGGGCGCTCTGAGAGCGCCAGGGGGGGCGCTTCAAAAGTGCCTCGGGACGCGCCGAGGGGGCAACACGGGGCACAGGAGGAGTCACCATGGAGGCGCCCAGGGAGCCTGGTGCCCTCCCTTCCCCGCCCTCTGTCACCATGTCCTGGGAGCCCCGTAGCATCGCCGCGCAGCCGGCATAGACATCCATTCCCTCCATCTCCTCGGGCTCGGGCTCAGGGATGTCCTGGTGCTCGGTAGTGTGCACGAGCCCGTGATGTTCATCGAAGAAAAACAGTATCAACGTAAACTGTTTGGCATTCCGCGCAGGTTTCTTGGATCTCAGCTGGGGCCCCCAGGTGGCGCCTCTGGCACCGCCCGTGGCGCGCTCCGCGCGCCAGGGAGGGGGGTCCAGCCCAGATCCACGAAATCCGTGCGGGCCATCGAAAGATTTGTTTTGCCGCTGTCTTTTTCTAGTTCAGCTAGCACTGATGTCTGGGGAAGGCCGCGCTGAATGGAACCCAGCATGCCTCTCACGGCATCCCCCCCCAGCACATGGTCGCACACCCAATCGGTTCAAGTCGCGTCAGAGACGCGTCGGTTCTGAAGATCTTTCATGGGGTGTATGGTTCCCTTACCTCGAGGTCCGGCGTTGGGAGCACACACGCAACGTCCCGAAAAAACACGACCGCCGCCCTGGGCCCTACCGTTCTGCGGCATCTCTCGGAGCCAGATCGATCAGTGACGGCCCCGAGGCCCGATACGGGGCGAAGGCGCTGGGCGTGAACGAGCCGCAGAGCCCGGATCCGGGGCACAGCGGAAACCCATGCCGAGAGACATTCTGCTTGCCTCCAGGGTGCCCTGGGTTTCTTGGGCCTCGATGGTGTCGCCATGGAAAGCGTGACGGTCCCGCACCAGAAATCAACGGACGTCTTGGGGTCTCGGTGTTGGGTTCATTGTGGAGGGTTCCTTGTGGCGTCGGGGGATCGCACCGCATCGCCGATGGATTGGCGATGCGGCTCGATGCGGAGCCCGATGTTCTCCACGCCGACGTCGCCGACGCATCGGCGATGCGGCCAGATCCACCGACCCCATCAACTCGGAGCCCATCTAGGAGGCATCCAGTCTTTAGCAGGGCTCGCTGTCGACGTCGCCACGGACTGTGCCCAGTCGACAGAGAGGCGCCTGCCCTACGCTGTGGGCAGCACTGGTTGCGGTCCGAGTCGGGGATGCATCCATAACCGCCGCCTGGGGGATCGATATTTGGGGACGTTGGCAGGCGATGGATATGGACTGTTTTCGGGCCTCCCGGGGCCGAGATGTGGCCATGCCCGCCGCCCGCTGGTGTCCCAGGACGTCGATTCCACGGGCGGCGCATGTGGATATGTCTCCGCCTCGCAAGGTCGGACTTGAACTCGCCAGGTGCGCCCCGGGAGGTCGCAGAGGCAGCCCCCTCGTGCACCACGGAGGCGTTTCATGATGTCTCGGCCGCCGCGTGCCGAACCCGCAGGAACCGCGCGGCACAGCTCGCGCTTGCAAAACGACATCTCTGCTTCGCGTGTTGGGCGCCGTGCTTGGTTTCGTCTCCGTGTCGGGCGTGCCAAGCCGCCCGCCGGTGTCCCGGGACGTCGGTTCCACGGGCGGCGGATATGGATGTCACCGAGCGCGTTCAAGTATTCGCAAAGTGCCTACTCGAAGTCGTCCGAGAACACACAAGTGCTCCTCCATGCAATGGGTCGTACGCCCCCCTCGGCGGATCCAGAGCATTCTCGATTAGTTACTCTGCGAGCAGTGGAACGTGTTCGTCTAGATTGCATCTCTGCCTCGCGTGTTGGACGTCGTTGTCGTCTTCGTCTCCACGCCGGGCGTGCCAAGCCACCCCCCCACGCGCCAGCCCCGCTCAAGGAGCCTCAGCATGGGCGTCCAAGGCCCTCGCCCCCTCACCGCGCATCCTTACTACACGGGTTGCATGTATGGATACCTTACCGCGTATCCTGAACGCGCTTGTTCGAAGACGCATCTCTCGAAGAAGAGGCAACGGCATGAACATGAATTGGCGCTCCGCGAGGATTCATTAGATCTGCGCTGGGCCCCCCCGGCGGCGCCCTTGGTGCGCTCCGCGCGCCAGGGAGGGGGGGGGTCCAGCGCAGATCCCAGAAATCCGTGCGGAGAGCCCACAGTTCCTGTGTCTGTGCAGGTTTGTCTTCTTCTTCTTCTTCTTCTTATTCTTCTTCTTCTTCTTCTTTGTCTTCTTCTTCGATTTCTTTGTCTTCTTCATATTATTTTTATTATTATTATTATTATTATTATTATTATCATCATCCTTCTTATTCCTCTTCTTATTTTTCTGATCGCAGCCTCGCGTGTTGGGCGTCGTGGTTGTGTTCGTCGCCGCCTGGCGGGGCCGCACCCCGCGCGTGCTGGGCCGCATCCCCCCCGCGCCTGCCCCGCCGAGAGGTGGTCTGCTCGCCGCTGGGGCGCCCGAGGCCCCACGGGCGCCGCGAGGAGGGCCCGCGCCCCCGCGCGGGGGGGACCTCCCGGGGGGGAAGGGAGGAAGGGCGAAGGTTGGTTTCAAACGACGCGAAGATCTCGACCCGCTCCCGAGAGTCGTTTCTCGTGGCCCAGGCTGGCCGTGGCCAGGAAGGAACGTTTGCCCGTGGCATCGTCGGCGTTCCTCGTGGCGGCGCTCGCACAAAGCCGCCGAATTGAGGATATGAGCAGGAGGAGGGAGGACGAGGAGGAGTACTAAAACGACGCGAAGATCGGGACAAAATCGGATCGGGGTAACTCGAAATCCCTGAGAATCGGCGGGTTTGGAGGATGTATTGGGCGCCGCGGCCGCTCCAGAGCGTTCCGGAACGCTCTGAGAGCGCTCCGGAACGCTCTGGAGCGATTCATCCCGATCCTAGCCCTGTTTTAGACCTCCCGGAGGGGAAGTGAGGAAGGGCGAAGGCTGGCTACAAAGAATCAGCGGCGAGCGAAAAGGGGAAGTGAGAAGGGGCGGGCCTTCTCAGAAGGCTCGGCAGTCCCCCAGCATCCCGAGAGGTCTTCTAAGCCGTTCCCGAAGACGCAGAAAGCTTCTCAGAAGGCGCCAGGGTCTCTGAGAAGTCCCGGCGCCTTCTGAGAAGGCCGTCTCCTTCCCACTTCCCCCCCCCCTCGCTCGCCGCCAAAAGGCTCGTTCGCTCGCTCGCTCGCTCGCTCAACGGTGGAGTTGCTCGAAGCTGACAGCATCCCCGGGCACTTTCTCGCCCCGTGAAGAGACGCGAGGGAAGGCCTGTGGCCGTTGTCAGCTTCCGGGGGCTGTCGCCAGGCCCCAGGGCCGTGGAGCAACAAAAAAGCCGGTCGTGGGGAGTGGGTCGAGACTTCGGGGGCCCGCGCCGTGAAACAGCAGCGACGTGTGGGGGGGGGGACTGGGCCCGAAGGGCTTCCCTGGGCGGTCCCGTGGCAAAGTATTGTCCAGGCCCTGCGCCGCTTGACATCGGCAGTCGGAGCAGAGCCGGTGCGTTCCACGCGGTATGGCCGTCGTCAGCGAGGGAGGGGGAGGGAGGAGGAGTCCAGCGCAGAAGAATAATATTCAACACGCAAGTTCTCGGAGCTCCTCGCACATTCCTTGGATCTGCGCTGGGCCCCCCCCGGCAGCGCCTCTGGCACCACCATTGGCGCGCTCCGCGCACCAGGGAGGCGGGTACGGCGCAAATCTAAGAAATCTGCCCGGATCTCCGAAACTTCACGTGTACGGTAGGTTTGCGTCGTGTCGACCAGCGGCGACCCCAGCGCGGACGTTCAAGGTTGAACGCCGCCGGCGACCCAGAATCGATCGATGTTGAACGATCGGACGTTGCGGCAGCGGCCGATCGTTCAAGGTTGAACGATCCCTGCGGTGTCAAAAACCAACGCTGGGGTCGGCACGACACGAACCTGCCGTATGCCTTTTTCCATCTCTTGTATACAGTGGGAAAGCAGGGAAGGGGAGGTCGGGCGAAAGAAGGAGGTCGAGTGGGAGAGCACGGAGGCGGACGCGGAGATGGTGACGGAGGTGGTGACGGGCTGGAATGAGGAGGAGGAGGAGGAGGAGGAGGAGGAGGAGGAGGAGGAGGAGGAGGAGGAGGAGGAAGGGGGAGGAGGAAGGGGGAGGAAGGAGGGAAGGAGTGGAGGATGAGGGGGCGCAGGAGGATAATGTGAAACAGGGGGAGACATGTGAGGAAGGAGGAGGGTTCGGGAAGAATGAAGGAGGCAGTAGGGGGCACGTGTGGGAGCAGGAGACGCTGTGATGACCTGTGCGCTGATGCATGGAACTCTCCTAGCCAAGTTTCCCATCTCGGCTTTACGTGCGTGCATGGATTATTTAATCGCTTCGCTCATTCCGCCGGCCCATATTGTCGCACCGTTGTGGGCTAGCCGAGTTTGGGGGCCTCTTGGGGCCTCTTTTGGGCCTCTTGGGCGCCTCTTGGGGCCTTTTTGGGGCCTCTTGGGGGCCTCTTGGGGCCTTTTGGGGGCCTCCTGGGCGCCTTCTGGGGCGGAGGGCTCGATTTTTCAGTTCTCGGTTCCCCTCTTGAGCCCCTCTTGGGCCCGTCTTGGGGCCTCTTGGTCAGTCTTGGGCGGCACTTGGGCCGTCTCGGGGCCGTCTTGGGAGCCTCGTCGGCCGTCTTGGAGCGGTCTTGGGGGCCTCTTGGGCCGTCTTGGAGCGTCTGGAAGCCGAAAAAGCCAGAACGCAAAAAACATAGGAAAAAAACAATGAAAATCAACGATTTGGGCCTCTTGGGGCCCTCTTCGGAGGCCTCTTGGAAGGCCCTTGGGGCGTCTTGGAGGCCTCTTGGGCTGTCTTGGGGCCCTGTTGGGCGTCTTCGGGCGATCTTTGGCCGTCTCGGGGCCCTCTTGGACCGTCTTGGAGGCTTCTTGGGGACCTCTTGGCCCGTCCTGGGGCCCTGTAACAGGGCTCCGGCATCTCTGGCCCGACCTTGCCGGGACCTTGCCGGGGACTTGCCGGGACCTTGCCGGGGTACTTTTCGTCCGGGGACCCCCAGGGGCCGCCCCGCGCGCGCGAACTAGAAATACTGTTAACCAGGTACCGGAGATCTTAGCACGCTCTGGCCCGTTGGGCCGGCGAATTGCTCGGCTTTACGTGCGTGCATGGATTATTGGATCGTTCACGGCGATGTTCCACCCTCGTGTTCATATTTTCGTGCCGATTCTCCCGCCCTTGATCACCCTGCTCTTGCCCCCATACATTTAGTCCTCCTAATCTCCCCCATCGGCCTTACAGTCAACCCGCATAGGAAGGATGGCCAACCTTCCCAAGGGTACCCTCGCATCCGTGCCACATTCGGCCCACCTTCAGCGATCCCTCTCCTCCCTCTCTCCCCCCGCAATCGCCCCCCTCGCACCTCGGCAGCATGCCATCCCTCCCCTTTTCCTGATCCTCCCCCAGCCTTCCCCTTCATTCAGGAGGGGAAAAATCACACAGACACAATTAATCGTCGATCTCCAGGAAAATATGGGAAAATATGGGAAGTGGTGGGGAAGACAAAAACCCAGAAAATATAAGAAAATATGGAGAATCTTTTTATTTGTGTATTTATTTGTGTGTCCCAGTTTCCCTTCATTCATACCTCCCTCGATTCTCCCCGCATGTGCTCGCGCTGATCGGCCTGCAGTCCAGCAGTCTCGCGCCCCGCTCTAGCACCGCTGGCTGCTGATCTCGGCGCGGGCGTGGCGCGCCATCGCTCTGCAAGCGTTTGTACACCTTAGGCGATGCTTAAGAAAACCTAAGTTTTCGGCCAGAGTCTCGATTATTCTTAACGTTTCAATGTAAATCCTAAGTTTTGAATGGAAATTTTGGGTTTTTATTCAAGTTCTGAGACTATGAATTTCTTAACCCATGATTTCTAAAGCATTTCGCAGGGTGTATGCACGTCATTTCGTGGGGGATTCGGGAGGACGAATGGGGAGGGAAACGACGAGGAGGATTGCACGCCACTGAGGGGGAGAGAGGGAGAGAGCGTCGACCAAAAGCCCTGAGGGGGGTCCATCGGAGAGGACCTTTTCTTGTCACCGCGGCCGGCTTTGACTGACCACTCGCGGGCAAGTGGCAGGACCCCCCCTAGAATGAAAGGATCGCCATCCTCCGCAGCAGGATCGATCTTCGAACGAGAAGCCTCCAGAAGCCTCCCCGAGCTAGGGGGAGGAGGAGAAGGATGAGGAGGAGGAGGAGGAGGAGCAGGAGGAGGAGGAGGAGGAGGAGGAGGAGGAGGAGGAGGAGGCCCAGGCATGCTCGCGGCGCGAAAAAAGCCAGGACGGGAGGCGTTTCCTGGTTTTCGGCTTCTGGGAGCCCTCACTGGCCCCCGGGGACGTCACAAAATGACTCAGGCTGAAAAACCGGTCCCGGGGAAACGGGTCAGGATTTCTGGGGATTCGGATTGAAAAAAAATCAGGACGCCGCACGCCTAGGGAAGGACACGGAGGGGGAAGGAGGGGGAGGAGGCGAAGGAGGATCGAGGAGGTGCAGCAGCAGGGGGAAGAAGGACGAGCACGGTGTGCAGCTCGCGCAGGCGCGCCGCCTATAGGCGCCCGGAGCGGTGTGGCTTGGCCCGCCCCTTGCTCCCATGGCAATTCACGGCCCAACGCTTACTTACGACAGATGGCCTCTAGAGGCCAAGTGTGAGCTACTATGTACAATCAGGCTCCACAGGAGCCCATATTTTATGTAAGTCTGCGTTTCTCGACGCATCGTGTTTCTTACCCTCTATCTGCAGCCAAGCCATGCTTAATGGTTTCCCCGAGGGGCCCTGAAGAGCCCCGAGCCCCAGAGGCTCATTATGAAAATTTCACACGTTTCCCAAGACATTTCTGCCGAAACCGTCTTGGATCAAGCCTTTGCAGCGACAGGGTGTCGCTGGACTTCTGGCGTGCGCCCGTGAGGCGCAGGATCGCGAGCTGGCCCGCAATATCAAAAAACAGCTCCCCTCCAGGACCAGCGTGCGATCAGCATCGCACTACAGTGCCCGACCTCGTACACCGATACCAAGATATATCAGACATTGTCAGAGGAGACAGGAGAGAAGCACACACTACATCAGGGCAGTGGTTCTCAGCGGGACCATGTCATGGTAGCGGAGCAGTAGGCTCCACAGACAACGGATTCACGGACCACTGTATTTTACATAGCCATGGCGAGGGCTAGCCATGGCGACGATATCGGACCCAGGTGGAACGGACACATCACCACGGTAGACGACTACGAGAGTGACGTCAAAACCTATATCAGAGGAACCCGCCGTGATAAAATGTATGTGTGCGGACCCAACCCAGACTATGGCGACGACTTGAGGGACGAGCTAGATAGGCCGCCAAAGACGTGGACTGGGATCGCATCGAGAGAGACGACGGCGCCACAGAGTTACCCAAACACGTCCGTGCCAATCCCGGTGCTCAACCCATCCAGGACGCAGACAAGTACCTAACCATATAGATCTTGGACTTACGACGCGGCACCGTAGAACCGATGC